CACCCCCTACCCCCGTCCCAAAAAGTTATTTTTTCTTTTGGTTAATCTGAGGGTACTGTGTGTATTCCAACTCTGAAAGGTTTAGACTTCAACATGCTGGCATTTCTTTTCTAGGACCAACAAAGCCTTTAACTTTACTGCCAGTCCTTCCCAGCCCCAGGTAAGGAGGAGTCCTGTGTGGCGTTGCTTGTATGTCTTACCACATTCAAATGGTTGATGTGATCCTATGTCAGAGATGGGAAAAGCCTTATGTGACTAGGTCATTTCCCTCTTAGGACACAGGGAAACTTCCTTACTGTTGAATTTTCTGTGGATATAGTGAAGAGGTAGCAGTGCCTCACCCCCTGTAGGGACACTTTTGGGTCCTCTTGCAAAGCAATTAAGTGAACCAAAAACCATGGCCACAGCAAATAAATGGTGTCTGTAGTTCAGGAAATTCCAGAAACGTGCAGAAGTCCAGAGGCCATTGGACTGCTACACTTCATGGGAAGTGAGATGGTGTGCACCAATGTCTTGTTCCAGCCAGTGCTGGTTCCATTGCCCTAGCATGACTACCCAAGATCCAGTATTTACTGGAGAAAAATAAATACGTAAATAAGTAAGCTGTAAAGGTACAACAGAACTCAGACTGCTATTCCTTGCTCAGGCAGCAAGTCAAGTTATGAGGTGATAAATGAAATGCCTGGTTATTAGTTCAGAAGAGAGCACACATGTACAGCATATCCAGCTGAGCAGCCTTCTTTAGAGCCCAGCTGATACAACAAGCCCTCTCTTGAATGAAAATGCTGATGGCAGTAACTATAGTGATACAGGAGCTTGTAGAGCTGGGAGAGTATGTAATTTACCTAGGCTGTCTGGTACTCCATTTTTGTTGTTGCTTTCACTGTTAGTAACGCCACTTAATTTTAGGTTTCCTATTACCAGGCATCCCAGCTAATCTTTTTTGCTGTCAAATGTCTTAAGCTGGTTTGCAGATATATCAGTATTTTATACTATAGAAGCACAGGGAATGGTGGTGGCTCTTTATAAACCCTCATTATTTAGGATCTTGTAATTTGAATGTAGAGTATTTAGGATCTGGCCTGGAATTAACTTTGTGACTTTGGTCTGTTATTTGTCACAATTAATATGAGATTGGTGACTTTTAATTATAGGCCAGATGTAGAGTAGAAGATGAGTGCTTCTTAATTGGTATAATGCTGAGGTTTGTGTAAGTCAAAGTATTAAGTAGTCCGCAGGGGGACGAAACTAAAAAAAAGGTGATTCAAAATCTGCATGAGTGTTGGAATAGCCCTAAGACTGGAAAAAGACAACCATAACAAAGGAAGGAGTTGTTGCTCAGAACCCAGCTCATGCCTGAGGGCAGAAGGAGAAATTAGATATGCTCGTATAGGTCAGGAGTGTTTATACCACTCACAGTCTGTGCAGGAGAGAACTGTATGTCTCAATGCCCCTTATGTTAATTCTGTACTCTAAGTGTGGCTTAGAAAGAAAATTATAGAAGGGTCCTCATGTGTGACTTCCTGAAGGAAGTATTCCTAAAGATTTCCAAGGGTAGTGCACCTGGGAAACCAAGGAGCTCAGACTGCCAGCGTCCTTGCTTGGCGGAAATAAAATCCACTCTGCTGAAGAAACCAGCTTGGTGAGTTGTCAGTTTGTAAGGACTTGCGGTTTGAGCCAGTGTTCCCTCAGCAGTGAAGGGACCCTGCTCTGAGTGGGGGTGGGGTGGGAATAAAGGCTTTAGTAGAAATGGGCAACTTGGAAAAAGCCTGGGTGATTTCTTTCCTATCCCTGCCCTTCCAGTTGGGGGCCCTACTTCCTGGGTAGGGGGTGGGGAAAGGGAAATTAGAAACGGCTGGCCCTTGCTCAGCACTAAGGTTTATGTGACACAAAGGGAGCTTGCCAGTTGGGAATGTCTCAAGTTATGGTTTTGGAGTAGGAGCTCCAGTAGCTTCTGTCCCTATGGGCTATGCCTGCCCCAGGGTGGCAGCAGCAGCTCCCAGGTGACCATAAGGAAGGGAGGAAGATGGCTGGCGGCAGTCCTCAAGCTTTGTGTCCTCAAGCCAAACTCTCAGGGTCTGGACTCCATGTGGGGTGATGGGAGCCCTTTGCAACAAGCCTGCCTGCTGGGGTGGGCACAGAAACCCTACTTCTCCGGCAGCTGGCTGGTGTAGTACATCAAACTTTTACTGGAGAAATATGCAAATAATGATGTTGCCTGGGACATCTTTTTCCCAAATCTGAAAAGGCCCTTGCCAGGGCAGGGAACCATTACCCTCTGCCCTCAAAACGAAACAAAACCAAAAACCCTCAATCCTACAACTAATATTGGGCATTTATTTATGAAACTCTTGACAGAGTTCAACTGCTTGACCTAATACTTTCCACAATCTCTCTTTGAGACAACTCATCTGAGAGAAACTCCATGATATGTCCTGTCTATAAAGTACAGCCAGCAGTATGGAAACATCTGGAAATTGCTCATAGCAACGTAAAATGGAGTAGGCTATAAAATGAAGTCACTTTAGCTTGATGAGGTGGGAAAAAAGCTTAAGGGGAGCAGAAGCTATGCTGTATCTTGCATCTTGAAGATGTCCGTGTTTAACAGCATGCTATGCAAGGGGAAGAGTAGTCTGTACATATTTAATCTGCTCTTCTGTAGTGTAAGGTCCTAATATTTGAAATCTGAATTTTTGTGACATCCTTCCACATCCAATCCTAAAGCCCAGCTTGGGCTGTGCAGGTACCTTAGGGAGGCTCTGAAGCTACTGGCAGGGATGATTTCTGGACTGTAACTCTCAGTACTTTGCTTTCTCCTCAGTATTTTCTGTACAAGTTTCCTCAGGATGTCGATTCAGTCGTTATTAAAGTGGTGTCTGATGCAGTCTACCCATGCTCGGTTGTCTCTGTCCAGGATATTGTGGTAAGTCTGAGCAGAGAAAGGTAAGAAGCTGCCTGCTGGAGCTCTGTGTCTTGATGTGAGGGGGTCTATGCCCCAACAGAGAGAAAAGACCTAGGAAGGGCTTCACCCTGGTGTGGTGGTGGTGGTGAAGGGAGCCCCTGAAAGAGGAATGAAAGAGGAATGAAAATCCTGTGGGAAGGAGGCAAAGGCAGAGATGCTGAGTTCAAGTAGCTCATACGGAGAATTTTGTTGCAAGTAAGTGAACAAGCTGTTCCTCTCCAGCCTGTCCACAGGGCATGTGTTATGTTCCCCTTATGACGTTTAACACCCTGATGCTTTGCAACATGGGTCAGTCTGTGGGGTGGTGTTGGATGGGGTGCTGGTGGCTGACTGTCCTGGTTTTGGCTGGGATAGAGTTAATTTTCTTCCTAGTAGCAGGCACAGTGCTGTGTTTTGGATTTAGTAGGAGAAGAATGCTGATAACACACTGATGTTTTAGTTGTTGCTAAGTACTGCTTATGCTAGTCAAGGACTCTTCAGCTTCCCATGCTCTGCCAGGTGCACAAGAAACTGGGAGGGGGCACAGCCAGAATAGTTGATCCAAACTGACCAAAGGACTATTCCATACCAATGTGACATCAAACTCGGTATATAAACTGGGGGGGGGTTGGCCGGGGAGCAGCGATCGCTGCTCAGGGACTGTCTGGGTATCAGTCGGTGGGTGGTGAGCAATTGCATTGTGCATTGCTTGCTTTGTATATTATTATCATCATTATTGTATTGTTATTACTATCATTACTATTTTACTTTATTTCAATTATTAAACTGTTCTTATCTCAACCCAGGAGTGTTTCTCACTCCTCCGATTCTCTCCCCCATCCCATCGGGGTAGGGGGAGTGAGCGAGCGGCTGCGTGGTGCTTAGTTTATTGCTGGGGCTAAACCATGACACTGAGGGAGGGGACGATGCGGTTCCCTTGACTCTCCCCTGCCTCAAGGCAGCATGGGGAGCTTCTGATTTCCAGACATGAGATCTCTCCTCCTTTTCAATTCGATTTCCTCTCTCCACAATTACTCATCCCCTTTCCTGGGAAGGGGAGAACAGCTGTTCCCTGCCATGGAGGTTGGCTGTTGCTCACAGCTGGGAAATAGCCCCATGTTTCTCCTCCTTTCCCCCACTCCCTGAATGATGCAGGGACCTGCAGTGTGGGAGCAGCAAGATGCCTTGCGTACTGTCTCTGAAGTCCTGGCAGTTGCCTTTAATACCTGGGGTGAGGAGAGAAATGGCTAGCATCAACTCCTGCCCACATCCCTGTGTTTGAATGGTAGAAGGGCAAGCGGGAAGACTATGACAGGTGATTTTCAACCTGTCAGGTATTAAAAGTAGTAGGAAAGAGTAAAACGAGGGCAAGCACTTGGCACATACTACAGACCGCAAAGCATGTGACACAACCAGTGTCCAGCTGAGTGTATGCGCTGCCCTGTGGGAATCATGGAGTGATCAGTCTGGCTGAATCCTCTTCTGGGATTAAACTGCAGCCCTC